TAAAGTCAAAATGTTATATCTAAATTTCATTAAAGAAATTCAACCAGATACCGGTTTACATAACATTTTTTCATTTATCAAATACTGGTTAACATACATATTTTTATTTATCACTTTAACTGTAGGAATGATTCAAAATGAACATACTTAGAATGATAACAACCAGGTTAAGAAACTCCTCTGCTAGTAACACTGTTTGTCGTAGTGAGTTATCTTGTCCACTTGGTGTATCATAACTCTCTCTGAATAACAAAAAAATCACAGTAATATATCGCAAACCTGTATCTTTCTTCTCTTTTCATAACTAATTCTGTAACCTCAAATACAGATACATTATATACTCAAGATTAGCATAACTCGTGCAATAAATTTAAAATTAAATATAATTAAATTCTTATTCAAACTAAATGTTGATGTTTGCTCTTTTCTCAATTTAAGTATATTGGTTTTAAACATATTTATTTAAGCTCCATTTTGAAACAAGTTCTTGCAACTTATATTAATCTTATATTAATCCCTTTCGAGTCCTGTTTCTGGAACTAACCAGTACTGGTAACATGAAACCTATGATTCCTGGGTTAAGAGGCAGACAACTAAACCACTAGGATACACCCCCATTTAGGTACAAATACCTTTGAGGTAGATGCATTTAATATTTCTAGTATCAAGCAAGTTAGATTTACTTTTCCAATAAACCACACCATCCTTATCCTAGGAAAATTTATCATTAAAATACACTAGTTATGTACAGCGTTTTTTCTATATTTGAAAAACCTTGCTCTTAATACTGTGGAGCAAGAGTGGTTAGGAAATCAAGTTGTTTAACTGACCATAGTGACACTAAGAGAAAGTAGAGTTATATATTGTAACAACTGTTATCTTACTTTGCCCAGATGGGAAGACCAAACTTGTACAATAAATGTATCAAGAACTCATTGCCATCTGCCATTGAAGCGCCAATCTAAAACAGAACACATTATTCATGCTATTAATCACATTTATAAAGGAAACAGAACACATTTACTGAGAGCCTCCTACATTTAAAGTGACAAATCGATCAGCACACAAACATATAACTGACCAAAGGCACTAGAGATTAATTTCCATTCAATGTTTGGGCTAACAAAAAGGTCAATGTAATGCTACGAGGTCTAAAGTTATGTACCTTTATAAATCTACAAAGTAATTGTTCAATATTTTGCTTGAAATTTAAATCTTTGGTTTAGTGGCTTGCGTGTAAGTTACATGAATGCGACAACTATCAAGGGGAACACAGGAGATAAACAATATTAGCTCACTTGCTTATTGGAGTTTGCCACCAACCTTCCCCTACTTTTTACATATTTATATCTAAAAGTAAGACTACAACAAAATTCAGAATAACACCTTCATTGATCAGTCATATTTGTAAAATCAAAGATGGCAGCCACCATATTGTAAATAGCCACATGGAGTTCAGAGAGATGGAACAGAAACAAGGAATGGAAATGCATGGGCACTTAAATATTACAACTTTGAAACTTCGCTCCAAGATAAAGATTATGTCAGTTCCCCTTATGCAAATATGAGGACATTGGTAAATCGTTGAATCCATATAAAAATTTGCTATAAACTATAATTATAGTTATGACAAGATTGCAAGAAAAAGGAATAAAATATCAATCATTTTGTAAGACTTAAGATATTACCTGTAGCATTAAGATATCTCTGTCGTACATCTCTGTTCTGCACTTTACATTGTGGTAGAAAAATATCTGAAACAATCAATTTCAAATTTCACTATCAAGTCTCAAACAGTGTAGTATATTATCATGACAATAACAATATTGACTTTGAATACATTTTATTTAAATTGTTTAAATTGTTTATGAAGAGCTTATGTAAAATTGAGGATAATTACATTAAAAATCTTTGGTTCCATTTCAAGCTTTGTTGCAAACTAATACCTTTTTTTGGAAAAAGGACGCTATTCACTAACAGTAAGTACTTATTGATTTAGAATAGAACAGTCAAGCTGTGAACTTATTTTGACTTTCACTTTATACCCTTGTGTGGCCATAATGTCATTACAAGCTACTTATACATCAGAATACGTAGCACAATTCTAACAAAGAGCCAGATGGGGTAATGATTCAAAATCTAAATTTTAAACACTGTATCAAATGATGAAGACATCTACACTATAAGATTACCTGGTTTATTAGAGCATAACCATTCCTCCTCCACATGTTAGCATTTGACTGTGCTACCATCACTTGTACTCGAAGTGGAAATTCTATTAACTCTGCTGGGTCAGGTCTCTGTAATGGCAAAATAATGGTTATACCTACTACTTGTCTGCTTTTGACAACTAAATATCATACAGAATGTTTGCTAATAAAATACATTTACACAGTAGTGCATTTTACTCACTTTTCATTTTATGCTTTTATCTCATGTCAACTCTTAAATATTATGAATTTAATTTATTCATTTTTGTAGACTACAACTGGTTAGAACCTTATACATATTATAACCTAACTAAAAAGAAAGAATTTTCCTGAATAAAAACCCATAGTGATGAAGGTAAATCATATAAGAAACAAATACTTACAACAAGAGAACAGTCTGGTGACTCAAAATACAACTCATGTTGACCTAGTAATGAATGCAAACCTGAAAATCAAAAATATAGTAAGTAAAAAAATACAACACACATATCAGCTTCCAATTAAAATACTGTAACATTTAATATTAAAGTTTATGTTTATCTGTGTCATTCATTTATATTCCTAGTAAAAATGTTACAAACCAGTACATGAGAAATTAACACCAAAATCTATTAAAGCTACACAATCCAATCTTGATTGTCTGCAAAGCAAAATATGATAAAGAAATTTGACCAATTTAGACAGGGGTTGCAAAACTATAAAATGAAATAATATAAAATATGAAATCAACAAGAAATGTGTCCATAGGAAACAAATGCCCCCACATTCCACTGTTCTTGCCAGTCTATTGATGCACAGTAAAACAGCTGGTTGAATTAACAAGGGCAAATTTCTGTGCCCCCTTATATAGTAGGAGCTAAAAAAATCAATCTTCAAGTTGAGATAAACTTACCAGCTAGAAACCTGGTTACAGGTAGATGTATAGAGATAGGTTGACTACCAACATCGTATTTTATACACTTTGCACTCCATTCATCCACTGAAATTTATTACATCTATAAGATACAGTACTTAAAACAACATGACCCTTTTGTCAATATATGTATTCTCTCTATGTAATAAATCATTAGAAGTACCAACAGTCTGTAACAATCTAAATTTCGAGTTCATCAATACTTTTATACACTTATTTAAAACATGAATCTTGAATAAATTTGTTAAATGGAGGCATGCATGAGAGGAGCATATTATTCTAAATGTATAATGTCTATTTTTTTCAACCAATTGTCAGCTACCCACTGTTGATTAACTACCCGTGGGTAAACAAAATCGATTTGCATTGATATACAGCAACAGATGCCTAAAATAAGAACCAATGAATCATATCTAAAAAAATTTATATTCTTCAATGGCCAGGGTAAAAATTATCAGTACCAGTATATAATCTTTGCTTTTTTGCTGGAAATTGTTCACATTTTTTTACACTGATCTTTTCACAGCTGAATAAGTCTTCACTTATGATACACAACTTTTATCGTGTAATATTCTTAACAATAAGTATTAGAAGTACATATTGTATGTACATTTAATTTTAGTTCACAATAAACTGTAAGCCAACCTAATACACAATAATTCTGTACAAATTTTGACCATCTGTGACATAAACATCCCTTTAAGAACATGATAAATACTAATATTTTACATGGTAATCTACTAGGTAACCCATATTTCCCAGCATTATTTTGTTAAGAAAAAGATAAATAATTCATGCATACTTTCATTATCAAAGATGGTAAGACAGTAACTATTACCTTCAATTTTAGTAGTTTTAATTTTATCTATATCTTTACAACACCTGAATGCTTCTATAGTTCTGTTATATGCTTCAATTAATACTTGTCTCTGAAATTCAACAACATCAAATGTTCATATAAACTTATACTGTTAAAGTCATATCAAGTCTTAACTTAATACCAAAACATTTATAAGTTACGTTTTCAATTTTGCAGTTTGTGAATTTATTTAAGGATCCTATTTCTCTTTATTTCAAAAGTTGTATGAATTATGTGCATAGGTACCTGGAACATAAAACATTTAATTTATTTATTTAGTGTTTTTTTATTATTATTTTATTATTTTATTGATTTTCACACCACATCTCTCAATATAATATGGTGGTACCCCGTGTTAACAAGTGTTAGAAAACTTTATGTGTTCCTCTGAGCATTATTGCAACACTGAACATTAATGTAAGACACATTAGAACCACAGACCTTCTGTAACATTGCTGAAGATATTGAACTCAAAATTTCCAGATTTAAATGCAATGCATAAAATGGCAAAAGATTCCATGTTTAAACTTTTTAACAAAAAAAATATATATATATGTACAATACCGTAAATGCAACTTTTTGGGCAAAAAAAAAACTTAGATAAAAGCAAAGACTATTTTTTACATATTAACAACATCTGACAACAGTATGACATATTTAAAAGTTGCTTAACTAATAAATAATACTTAAGATCATTCCGAACATTGTTTGTCATGTTTTGCTTTAAATAATCAAGATTCCAATGCATCCAGTAACAGAATATCCGATAAAAACCTTATATTTTTGGTATTCCAAACTTATATTTTGGTATTTTAATTAATAAAATCAAATTGTTAAGATCACTGTTAACTTTCTTTATTTTGTAGAAGTACAGTGTTTCATAAGTGATCTTTAATTTACAGTTCTTGCAAGGAAAGATTTTTTGCCACTGCCCAAAATTATTTCAAATTTCATTAAGACTTCACAAAATGATAGAATAGACTATCAGATAAAGTATAACTTACATCAGTACTGCACCAATCTAGAAACAATACTATATTATCTTCTAATTTCAGCTGTAAATTGAATGCACCTTCCCACTCTGGTTCAAACTCTAAATGTTGCCCTGTCTGTCTCTTCACCTGATCCATATCCTATAAAAAATAGTATAAATATAGCATTATTATTTAATAGAGTAACACTGTAGTCTAAACATACACTTAAGCATTGCAAAACATAAACAAGAAGACCATTATGGCCAAAGATCGTTCACCTTATATCAATTGCTACAGAATGCCATAAATTCATCAATAAAAAGTAAGTCATCCAGTCACATTCAAAGTCATCCATTATGAAATCCCAAAATAAATATATATATAGAGTGGTGGCATACAAGTGAAGAAGAATGAACCTTAAAATCTTATGTAGGTAACTTGATGATTCAATGAATAAGTTCAATACCATATATAACATAATAAGGTCCACCATGCCAAAATTAATTTTTACACTTAATGGACGATTTGTTTTTAATCTTTAAAAAAATTTTTGCCATATCTCAGCAGTCAGCCAGCCAACCAATTTCCATGGATAACTAATGCTTACAAGTTCTTACCGAATTTCTCAGTGGTAATGAAACAAATGACCATTAGATTCAAAGTCTAAGATTAGTTTATTTTCCTCACATCAGAGCCTACAAAAAACTATCCTCTTACAAAACAAACTTACCTCTATTAATTTAAGAAGATCTAGAAAGCATGTTAAACCTTCTATAAAACTATTTCTTAACTCATCTGTCCATTCTCCTGACCCTGGTTTGCATATCAATGCATATCTAAAACAAAGAGTGGTTCACATATCAATGCATATCTAAAACAAAGAATAAGTCTATTTATTCACTGTGATATTAAAACAGACGTAGATTTAGTAGATTGTTTTGAGACTAGAACATTAAGAAAAGAAATAATACATATTTTCAGAACTCCCAATAAATATCACTTAAGTATTAAGTATTCTCAAAATTGAATCCTGGTGCCCTGGTTATTGCTTCCACCCCTGATCAGATGTCACTTTTGTTAATGTCACTTAGTCTTGCAAAATGAATCACTTTGAGTGTGACAATAATATAAAAGTACACTTTTAAACTTTACATTCCAGCAAAATTCCAAAACTTAAGTGATTTAAACACTAAATACAAATATATAACATAAAAGTTCTTACTTGAGATCATGTAGAGAGAAACAGGCTCGTTTAAACGTCTGTGTTCCAGTACGCTCAAATGTTAATTTACCATCCTCTGAAAATACACATTAATATTGCAACAGATTATATTATTGTACATATTTAAAATTTTAATATAATATTGTAACATTTTCATTGGACAACAGTGACATTTGTGTTATTCATACACAGGGTTGCTGAAAATTTATAAATTTCTTTCCCTATGTAATCAAAGAAACAACTGTGCAGGGCATTTCAGAATTGTTACAAAGACTTAAGAAAGGTTATATGGCTCTGGAAAAACCATCATTTGCTTTATAACCCTTACTTTGAGGTCTAAGTAATATTTTTAATTATAAAGATTTCTTCTATATCTTTACACACCTGAACTATATCTTTACAACACCTGAATGCTTCTATAGTTCTGTTATCTTTAAAGGTTATATGGCCATAGATAAACTGTTGTTTGGAAATATAACCCGAGCCACAAATATAATATAACACAACAAACTTACAGCAAACTTCCTTTTTTCTTTGAGAAAAAAGTGAGATTACATCATAAATTGACAGCAGTCATGTATATAAAACTATATAAATAACACAATAAACCTATGAAAAGTGATGTTACAAACTACAGGGCTCGAATTTAACTTTTTTGGCCACTAGCAATTTTTTGCCAGTAGACAAATTTTTAACTAGCAAAAACTGAATTCAACTAGCACTTTTTATGACAATGATTTTTTAATTCCAAAATTGTTTAAACTTTTGTGTACATTCATTAATTGTTTAAATTATGATATCATGTACCATGATAATTTATTCATTGTTGTTACAATTATGTATCATGATAATGAATTTTATTGAAAATGTTTTTATTAATAAATGTTGTAGTACAACACATAAATTTACAGTTGTTTGTTATAACTTGAGTTCATTCCATAGCTGACTTAATCATGAAATTGGGCATGAAAAAAATTATAATACTTCAATTTTAAGTTTAATTATTTGATGTGCTGAAAGACAAAGTTGTTGCTGGATATAGAGAATAACAAAATTAAAATTGTAATTTATTTGGACGAGTTCGAACTGCCCGGGATACGAATCAGCAATGTAACTTTCCACTCAAAAACTTTATTTAGGGGACAGGGATTCTTATCAAATGTTAACCTACATGTAAAAAAATAATAATGCAATATTGTCGCCATACCGACAATGTCTGGTCTGGATTATGTGCACAACAATCAGCGCAAAATATTTTAGCAACATTTCCATCGTCATCGAGTTTGTACGTAAGACTGACGTGCAGTTCTTTCTCCCATTACTTAAGGTCTGATTGTCTTTCTTTTGATAGACTGTGAATCATCTTCTGTACTCAGAATATTGTTATCGAAAGACACATTTGCTTCAGTAAGTGGGTAGAAGTTCATTATTTTTCGTTTAGACATTTTATTCCGATCACACTTGATTTACACGGACAAAATGACATTTGGACTGGTTTAAATTTGTGTACTTTTTAAAGCGAGGTTAAGGTATAGAAAATGTAAACCAGACAGCAAGTGCGCGCATAGTTTATAACTCGGCTACCTGCGAATATTACGCCCCATTTATATTTCGGATTTTCCTGAAGAGCGTATTCCGTTTTTTCTTCAACTTGCAAAAAATTGCGAGTAGTCATAAATCTGACTCGCAAAATCATTTTTCAACTAGCATTTTGCGAGTTTGCCAGTGTTAAATTCGAGCCCTGAACTAGCAGTTTTATAAAAGAATATGCACTGTTTATACAGCCACATAAATAGTCAAAATTCTTCATAAAATACCAAATAATATAATATACACATGTATAATACAGAAAACTTCTGATAAAATGCATAATGATAATTCAATTAGGATAATATTTAGGTTTTAGATGATTTTATCAAAGCAGGCCAAATCTTTTTGCTTTGCAGCTGATTGTTAGATGCTTCAAAATACATGACAAATGATTTAGCTTACCATAGTACTGAAAGTTTTTAATAAATAATTTAACAGTATACAAAATCTTTTATGTAGTATCAATAGTTGCTTTATGATGTAAAGATATGTACAGAATAAACAGAATTCTACCAATATTTAACAAGTATCAAATTTCATTACCAAGGAACACATAGATTGTAATCTTCATCACCAATACGTTATACTTACTATTTTTCTTCTCTTCACAAGCTTGTAAGAATGTTTTAATTATCACAGCCAGGAGATTATGTTCAGCAACCAAAAGTCGAGCCTGCAAAATATATCAACAAGTCTTACAATAGCTATCCAAACAACATTGACAAACATGACAAAATATGTCAATAGATTTACCCTTACCATGCTAAATATCTTAAATTTGCTGCTACGAAAAGCATTTTATAACACTTTTAATATCATGACCATTCATACATCTGAATTTTCTGTCTCACCTTATCCATTTTTTACTCACCTTTTTGGGATGTTTTTTTTTAATCCCATAATTATATAAATTGGTGAAAATGAATTGCAATTATAACCAAAATTTAAAATGATCACCTACACCATTTTTTGAAAAACAGGAATTTCTAAAGTTTTGGAAAAGGTTCATCTGTCAAACTTGCTTAAAGGGTGGAAAAACATTCTATTCATCCAGAAAATATCAATTTATATTCTTATTTAACATGAAAAGTACACATCATTTAAGACAAAAAAGATTCTTCACTTAAAAGCAAGTGCTTACACACATAGTATGAAATATAAAGCGCATACATGTATTTCAAACCAATTTTTTTCGAAGTTCTCAGCTTATTCATGTATTTTAATAGCAGTATCAGATTTTAGAAAATAAATGCGGTCATAAAACTTAAATTAACCCCATCTCAAATTCTAGCATCTGACTGAGTTCAAAAGGAGGTAAAACTGATTAATTACAAAATGCTCTCAAACCTCTAGTCAGAAAAATCATTGATATAATGAAATATAAATATAACCATTCCGTTAGTAAGCTTCAATTAAAATAAGTGATAAGTACAATCTAAAGTGTACTTCTCCCTTAACCTGCTGAATTTATGTTACTTATTTGCCAAACTTTGAATTTTGAACAGTCTCAAGTGTCAGGAAGTTTAAAATCCAAATACAACTAGAAATATTTTCTTAAGACATTGGTGCCGCCATTTTCAACTGTATTGTCAGCCTTAGGAGGACAGACAGCATAACAGTGTGACAGACAAATCTTTATACCCATCAGCTCCTCAACTAGGGGCATAAAAAATTGAGCTACCAACAGTATAGAGTCTAGTCAGACTAGATAGAGGTGAGAAGTCTTGCATGGCTCTTTACTGTTGGCAAAATGTAATCCAGCAGGCTAGGGGTTAAAATGAGAAAATACATTATGTAAGGTGCTTAGACAAGCACTTTGGTATGTTTAAACTATTAGTATTTCTATTTGATCATTCTGAGGAAAATTTCTAATGACAAATTACATAGAAGAAAGTCAAGATTAAAATGTTTAAGAATGCATCTAGAAATAAATGTTTCACTTTTTTATAAGTATACAGTTTTACTACTAATAAAGTAAAGCAAGAACTTAAGTTGTGTAAGCTGCAAAAACTAAAGAAAGTAACAACATCAAAAACTTTATTTTATAGGCGATTTTGTATCAATTTAACTAATAAATAAGCAATCAGCAATGAAAATAGCCTCTGCAATTTTGCTTAAGAAGAAAGTGGGAAGAAATTGTCTTGGTAAGAAAGTTAACACAAAACTAATATAACATCAGAAACTACATTTTAACTTGTATGATGAATTTGTGATAAAGCAAAGGGAAAACATAGATTCCAAATTAATGAAGAGTCAAATTTACAGAACTATAATTACATCAGAAAAACAGACAATGTCATATTGATAATCGTTCATAAAAAAATAATACAAAGGTAAACATGGTTTCTGTAGATACCGCACTGATATTTTTCTCTTTTTTTTTTCTTTTTAAGACAATATAATTGAAAACATGATGGATGCTTTCAACAATGTATAGACCCTGCTTTATTATAGTATGAGGAAAGGTAAAAAAATCTATTTTTAGCTTAACTGACTATGACCCCAGCAATTTTAATATGAACTTAAAGTTTTTAGTTTTAGAGGTATATCTTTAGTACCTATATATCTAAAATATTCAGAAAGATTAAAAGATTAAAGCACTAAAAGAAATATTTATGAGGCCAAAATGTTGCTTACACCAGCAACTATATGCCACAGGTTGAGAAAAATGTGCAGTTTGACCGGGACTTGAACCAGGGACCCTCGGAATACCGTTGTGCAGCTCTACCGACTGAGCTATCCGGCGGCTTACACATCCTCTCTCCTAAATTGTGAACAGCTGTGACCGTGACATATATGACACCCAGAAACCTTTTTCGGAGGTCATAAAGCAGAATTTATAATAAAGGCATGGTAGGACAAGTATGAATTAGGTATTACATTAAAGGTAACCTATTCTCTGAAAACAAACGATGGTATAATGAAACCTATAAAATGACGTACCAACGTGAGTACTGTGAAAATTTGCACGGACAATTTGGTGACAGAGACTGTCCTAAATTGATCTTCTTGTATAAACTCCTTCATAAGCGAGTTATAGCACTAAAAATATACAAAATAACCACAGTTACTTACATGTAAGCACATTATAATATAGACAATAACAAAAGCAACTTTTTATATGTGGAACTTTCCTGACCTTTGTATTCTTCGAAAATAAAGATAAATTCTTCTCAGAATTATATATCTACAAAATTTTTCAATGCAAAATACCAGATAGATTTCAATGAGATTTGAAGGCACAAAAAGATAAAATTACATTATTTGTGACTGAAAAAAACAATCTAATAAGCCAGTATATTTCCACATAGTTTTTGTTGCTTCTGTTCATGCCTTTAACCATAAGGTTAACCAGCATGTGTGTTTCATTTCTAAGCTTAATGATTCATCTGCATGTATAAATGGGCAAAATTTTTTTTTTTTTAAACTCACCAAATTTTCCAATTTTTAAACAAACACTTTTTTAATATTTTGATAATTCATTATAGTTTTAGCTCTAAAATTATTATTTTAAATAAATCAAAAGCTAGAAATAGAAACACACATGTTCCTCTCCACAGGAGTGCTAATCCCCTGTACCTTGCCTTACGTTAAGTAATATATAACATACCAGAGAAATAACAGTAAATATTTGTACGGAGAGTGAGGCTATAGAGACATCGTGATCGTGGTCGTCCATACAAAATGCCTTCATCAGATTCGTATAGTGCTGCAGCAGAAGACATATATATACACCATTAATAATCAACAAATTTATTCTCTCAAACTTAACCCTTGACCTGCTGGTACCAAGTGATCAGCCTTTGCCACCAGTATAGAGCCAGGCCAGCCTGCACATCCGTGCAGTCTGACCAGGCTCTATACTGGTGGCAGCTCAATTTTTGTATTTTGATATTGAAATCCCTTGCACTTTGAATGGACTGTTTCAAATTCAAAGCTGGACAGATCCATTATAGAAATATAGCAGGTCAAGGGTTAACATCAATATTTTTTTACATAAAATTCACTAAACACGGTATCTTAAATCCTTCACAAACTAGCAATGTATCCATGGCACAAGTATACCCAGACATTCCACCATTTGGTCAGTCTATGGATAGACAGCATGACAGAGAGGCATATGCTCCCCTCAAGTATTGAGGGCATAAAAAACAGACCTTTGTATATTTAATTGTTCAAAATTATTAAATGATATTCAATGTAATCCTTTCACACTGCTCCAAGTTTCTGCAGCTTTAGACTATAGAATGGGATTTTCACCAAACAAAAATAGAAGGGTCATATTCCTGTCAAAATGACAAAGATTTTTTAAACTTGATCAGCGACCTTAAATATTTAGCCTAAAACTTTTTTACTTTCATTTCAACAACATTATGTAGTTTGTATTTAACGTTAAATTATTAGTTATAAAGAGTTTTAGCAGGTTATATGGCCCTATATAAATGGTTGTTTGGAAAGTGGCTTGGGTTATATTGCAAACTACCATTTACATACGGCCATATAACCTGTCAGAAATATTTATAAGGAATTTATAATACAGCAAGTATCTTATTTTAGAGAAAAAAGTGAGATTTCTTGATGAATTGACAGTAGCTGTGTATATAAAACTATAAAAAGGCCACAATTATCCAATGAAAAGCCACGTTACAAACATGCAGTATCATTATATCTCCTCAACATGTTGGGGTAGCAGTATAATCTGTAACAGTTTGTTGTATGAAAACATTTAAGGCAAGTTTTTGTCAATGAAAATTCTTAGTTGAAAATCAAAGCATAACTCGTAAAAATCAATTTTACATTTACTTGACATTTCTCAAGAACATATCTTATCCAAATATAACTTAGATTGTTATTTACATAAAAACAATAATTAGTTCTAAACAATAACAAATAAATTAAACAAATTGATAATTTTTTATACTTATTTGTATACATTTATTAACTTTTCTTTAAAAATAAACCTTTTAAAGTACTAATTAAATATATGTTTCAAGTTTAGTTTTCTTTAATATTTTATATAAAATTTAATTATATTTTGTTACCCAAAGCTAAGTATCTAACAATTATTTTTTTTGTAAACTAATTTAAGTGACCTACTTTAATACTTAAAATACACTTACCCGTGTAAAAATTATCGAAAATTTCTTTTTACATTCCTGATCCATAAGAACCCTGCATAAGAAAAAAGATGAAATAATACACATACTGAACAAATATACAATTCCATATACAGACAAGTAATTTTACACTATGATCTGGGTGGCCTTTAATGCAAAGTGAAAATCAGTTACAGAATTTAACTACTATTAAGGCAATAGAGGTTCCTGTTAGATTTTAACAAATAAACTAAACAAATAAAACATTTTTTTTTCATCAATAATTTACATGATAGACTAGTATATTGAAACTACATACCAAACCAATGAGTTGTTTGTAATTTTTAAATTACATAAAATATGGTCTAAAACGTATCCTTAACTTCTGTTTTCATATGTTTGCCTGATAGATATATATATTTTTCTGATATGTAATATTTTTAAGTTAGTGTCAAATATGTTTTTGTTTTTTTAATATCAATACAATCACACATACCCTGCCATCATAAGCTGGTGACTTTGAACTCTTGCAGCTGTAAGATAAGTACATAACTAACATGCAATTATCTCAATCATTCATTTAACTTTAATATACCAAGATTTTATATAATTATATATCTTTTTTTTTCAATAACAAACAAATAATATAAATGAATAGTAAATTCCTCCTAACCCAGTATAATGGACTTGATTGAATTCTACAAAAAAAGCATTCAATTTTCCAATTCGAAATTAGAACTTACTCTGTAAGTGACAATGAGATAAAGTGACAATTTTTACAAAGTCATCCATTGGCAAGCAAAACAACACATTTTGTCTACAGCAAAAAAGAGAATTTGTAATCTTTGATAGTTTGTTTGTTTGTTTCATTTTACACCTTTTTTCAACAGTATTTCAGTCATATAGGCTAATCTTTGATAGATAAGCATACACCATGTCTATATAGATATTTTGGTAACAATTCCTTTTAAAAATGTTGTTACCTTTTAAAAAGTACAAATGTATAAAGATAACTTTGTCATACTCAAAACTGTTTATACCCTTACAGTCTGACCAGACTTTTCATTATTGGCTACTCAACTTAAGTATTTTTATAATTATCTCCCTTTAACTACTAGTTGACTGCCCCAAACTTCCATGCATTATTTCTGCCACTAACGGGCACCCGAGTAGCACCACCAAGCTAGCTGGAAAGCTCCTTTTCATGAATGAATCAAAAGTTCCTGGGTCCTAAACTCTCAAAGCATGGCTAGACCATTATACATAATTGGCATGGTAAAGATAAAATCATAAATGTTATCATAGCAACTGGTGTTGGCTTTACATGCAATAAATATTTGTCACTGTCATAACTCTTAAATCATATGATACAGTTCAAGTACAGATTATGTATAGATAACTCACTTTTCCAGAGCTGTGTATCAGCTAGAAGTAATATTTCCATCAATGACTGTTCATTTTCTTGCTGTTGCATACTGAGTTGACAAAACAGGTGACGCAGTCCATCTACAATATAACAACATACAAAATCAGAAAACACATAACAATTTTTAACACCCGACTTCTCTGAAATTTTGCTCTTTTTTTCCCCTCTCAAACTACATGACGTAAGACATATCATCTATTTTACAAAGTTTAACTTTTGAAATAACATTAGTACCATCAAGGTAATGCAGTGACATCATCTTCATTACAATGTGGTATAATGCTATTGCAGTGTGAAGGCTCCAAGTTGTTTTATCAAAATATAGGTGTAAAATGACATCAAACTATCACTTCATAAGAAATATTACTGTACAAGGATCTTAAATCGGCTGACAGTACAGACCGGAATATCTAGCACAAGGGTAACTGTTGACAGCGGTAACAAGGCTCTGCCGACTGTTGGCTAAACAGTTACCCGAAGCTCTTGATATTCCCAAACATGACAACAGCTGAACTTTAATTATTTTAATTATTTTTCTTGCATATTAATAATATTTTGGAAAGGGGTCTATATCTAACAAGAGCTGTCACAGGAGACAGCGAAGCTCGACTAATAAAATACTGGACGCAGTAAGGAGGACAAAACTATGAAAGAAAAATCAATAATGTATAATTATGTATTAAGTTATAGTAAAAAAATAACATTTGTTAACATTAATTCCAAGGTCAAGGGGAATAATTCTAGAAATAGTCATGCTAGAGTTATGGACCTTGTCACACAACAGTTGTGTAATGATAAGAAATATATATTTGAAGTTTGAAGTAGATACCTTAAAAAGTAAAGAAGTTATTATATTTCTTAAAGAAAATCCTAAGTTCAAAGAGAGATAAATCTGTAAATATTGCTTCAAGAGTTATGAACATTGTCACATAAAATGTAATTGATGATAAGGAATAAGTATTTGAAGTTTGAAGTAGATACCTAAAAATAAAAGTGTAATAATAAAAAATAACATTTTTCTAGTAAAAAAATCTAAGTTAATGAGGAATAATTATTGCAATATTGGTGCTAGATTTATGAACCTTGTCACATAAGATGTGGATGATGATAACGTAAATATATTTGAAGTATGAAGTTGATCCCTTTAGAAATAAATAAGTAACAGTAAAAAATAATATTTTTTATGGAAAATTCTAAGTTCAAAGGGAGATAAATCTGAAAATATTGGTGCTAGAGTTATGAACCTTGTCACATAAGATGGGGATGATGATAACGTAAATATATTTGAAGTATGAGGTTGATCCCTTAAGAAATTAAGAAGAAACAGTAAGAAATAGTATTTTTTGAAGAAAATTCTAAGTTCAAGGGGAGATAAATCTGAAAATATTGGTGCTAGAGTTATGAACCTTGTCACATAAGATGGGGATGATGATAAGGTACATATATTTGAAGTATGAGGTTGATCCCTTAAGAGATAAAGGAAGTAACAGTAAAAAATTGTATTTTTTAAGGAAAATTCTAAGTTCAAGGGGAGATAAATCTGAAAATACTGGTGCTAGAGTTATGAACCTTGTCACATAAGATGTGGTTGATGATAAGGAACATATATTTGAAGTTTGAAGTTGATACTTTAAGAAATGACAAAGTTATAGTGAAAAATATTTTACTGCACCAAAACTTTAATCTAAAATCTGGACGCGGACGCCGACGCCGGGGCGAGTAGGACAGCTCTCCATATACTTCGTATAGTCGAGCTAAAAATAAATGAACAAACCTGACTGAACTATGATATTCTGTAGCCACTGAATCATACGTAGAGCAAACTGCTGATGGGCAACCACTGCTGTATGCATCACCTGAACCTTCAGCGCCTTTGCGCCATGACGAGATGTGTATCTCTAAAATAACAATAACCTTTAATCAAAACAAAATAAAACATGCCTCACACAAATATATCTTGTGTATCCCCACGACCTTTGACCTTCTCGCCTCAAACGTCACAGCAAGTCTCACTTCCAATAAAAGAAAAAAAAAAATTCCATCTGCATTTCAAGATACTAGTCAAGAAATATTTTTATATCCAAAACCATAAATACATTGTATGTGCTAATAAAGATTAAAATCAATGTAGGGCACAAAAATAATCAACCATCATGAATAACTTGAATAAGTATATTACCAATCTTAACTTAAGCATGATACTGAATGAAAAAATATCCTATTTCAGCCACATAAATCACATTCTTCTTGAACTTCTATAAATTCTATACAACACGCCAAAGAAACCATACAAAAAAATCTATATATTTATGCATTTAAAAAATCAAAGCATTTTATTCTATCTTCCTTTTTAAAAAAAAATACAATCCTTAACAATAGATTGACTTTAATATCTAAGTACCTGAGCAATTACTTTTTTTAAAGATGCTATTAAGTATCTAGTATCAAACATTACTATTTTTTTTGAGCACTTAAGTTTGGTTGAAATCTTTGTACAATTCAAGCAGTCAAATGGCTTAATGTACACAAACATTATTCATTCAGGTGTGTGAGTGTTCTATACTTCAAATTACATGAAGGATTTGTTCAATTGTTGATTTATATAATGTTAGTTACAAAGGTTACTTATTCGATAGTTACTTAATAAATATTTGATTTATATAAGGCACATACTAACGCAAGTGTGGCGCTTTTTAGAAAAATCTTAGAATGTATAAAAAAAAAATTTTATTATTAGAAGTATATGTATAGTAGTTGTGAATAAAAGAGCAAAACAGACTATTCACTCAGAAAAGAATGCATTGTTGACAATAGAAACTATTTTGCACAGTAAAACATTCAAACTTTAAAAACTAATCATTGACCACAGTATTAAATATGACTTTGTAATGCACGTATTTAAAATACACCATTTCACTGCATAGAAAAGTTGAAATCAATTAAAAATGTAACACATTATAATAATATGTTTCACTTGGATACATTGAAATACATTTTGTAACATAATTACTTTCAAACTATAAACTGGTTTGTTCTTCAACATGTATTAACAATTAAATGTCTGAACAAATGGAGAATAGGAAAATGGTGTAAGCAAGAAGGCAGGAAAGTACTGGCCAAAATCTGTTTAAATATTTTTTAACAGTTGTGCAAGTTTTATCTAGCTTAGAATTCACAATTTCTAGTAACAATGTAGGAGAAAATGGATTTCAATACTAAAAGCAAGCAACCAACAGTATCATCAGGTCAAAATTGTACAGATGACCAAAATAAAAGTGTATACCCCATTATGATAAATTTTATGATACAGTTTTATTATATATTTGTTTTGAAGATTTCTGACAGGTTATATGGCTGTGTACAAAAGGAAGTTTGCAATATATAATCCTAACCTATTGGCTCTGATTATATAAGCTTACTAAAATACTAGGCCATATAATCTGTCTTAAAAAAATCTTTATAACCAATTCACTGTCCAAAAGTTAATAAAATCTTTCAGGTATTTACACATTTATAAAGCACCTTTTATCACTGTAAGATATCATAGCTCTCAATTCTTTTCTCAGTAAAACGAAGAAATATTTCTTTCTGCTAATAAATGTATATTCTTAAAGTATACAAAACTGACCTTTCAACATGTATTCAAGGATTTGCATATGGAGAACAGAAAGTGTTCTTGAATATTCAATATTGATCAAAAGAATCCACCTACAACAGTTATGTTTTCCTTTTGATGAAAATTAATTAAAAATTAACTTTCAAAAAATTATAAATAAAACTTCATTATTAGTGACCTAGTGTGATATATAGATTATATTTCACTGATTAGATACAATATTTCATTATCTAGCATTAGAGTTATCATACTCTTGCATCACTCAAGAATAATTAACAAGATTATAATAATAGCGGATGCATATCAAATATATACTACTATAATTCAATACTCAGTTTACCATATGATCTATTAAGAAACTATGCAAACAAAATCAATTTATTTTTTGTATAATGCATTCACAGACAATTACTTATCCGCAGTTCTGTCACTTTTACATAGTAGATATTCTATCACAACTTTAACATTAGAAAGCAGTGGTAATGGGTTAACTCTATCAAAATGAAAGAAATAAAAGAACATTTAAAAAGCAGTAACAGCCAAAAATTTACCCTAAGAGGTTCGGAGCTGTCTTTCTGAAAAGTATATCATAACAATATTTTCTTCATCCTTTTTTCTAGATTTAACAACAATAACTTTAACTAAATACAACTATTAAACTATCATTGTGAACTTGCAAGTTGAAATTATCAAATATTTCCCTCTCACACTGTTCACATAATAATTCTTTCAACATAAATTTCATTTATTCAATAAAAATATGCCACAAACATCAAGTGTAACAAAATGAATGACAAATGGACAAACTATGCTATTTAAGTAAAGGATTTAGGCATATATTCTGCTCTAGGGTAGTTAAAAGTCCTATGTGCACAACTATTATTTCATAAATTATTGTATATACTTTTATATATACAATTTATTTTTAGTTTGTGTAGAAAATTTTAAGCTTATAGGCACATTCTCCAATATTGTATTGCATACTTTGTAAAAAGATCCTTTCCATACAGCATTTCTGTAATGTTTCTTTTATGGATTTTTTTTAACATCTATCATTCGATCAAAATACCAATAAATCAGTTGAAAGAATTTGGCATTTTTATACATGTACAAGGTTAAATAAAAACAAACAATAAATGAGCTGCGTCATGACAAAACCAACGTAATGCGTTTGCGACCAGCATGGATCCAGACCAGCCTGCGCATTCGCGCAGTCTGATCAGGATCCATGCGGTTCGCTTACCAACCCTATTACAAGTAGTGAAACTGATAGTGAACAGCATAGATCCTGATCAGACTGCGCAGATGCACAGGCTGGGCTGGATCCATGCTGGTCGCAAACCCACTATGTTGGTTTTGTCGTGACGCGGTTCAAATAACAAATAATAGTTAAGTAGGATGCTGGAAAACCCAACAACACAGCTTGTAGAGAAAAGGAGATTTAATAAAAATCTTTTAAAATAACCATGAATGAGTTGTAAACTAAACAGCATTGTATGTGTGTTTTTTAATTGAGAAGACATTTAATAACAAAAGATGGAACTACTTTCTGGTTACATTTCCAACTTGACACACTATATTAATTCATGACTATAATCCATTATGCATGTATATACCTCGATGAGATTCCTAGCCTTTTCACAGTCCGAAAAAGAACCAGTAGTTACAGTACTCCTTCCCTGAAACAAGTAAAATATTAAAATTTTATTTAAGTGTGAGTTTTATGCATTTGAGGACTTTGGTTTTATGTCAACCCCCACCCCCACTAGGGGTGTAACAATACAGCAAAAACCGTATTGCAATATATTGCCATTTTGCTGAAGCGTATTGCAATATATTGCAATACGTATTGTCATGTATATGTTTTGATGTAAAGATGGAGTAACATTTATATATTATTATTATATGTATATATTTTAGTAGAAACTTAATAAAAATGTAAGGAATAAATAGAAAGTAGTGTCACACAATTTGATAAACAAAACTAGTCGCGTGTGACCTTTCACATATGGGCTGCTTATGTAAATTATGCGGCCGCTTATTGACTTTTAAGTGTCATAGTTGTCGGATACTTTTATCTTACGTTGGCGCCAACAAAATTTGCCAATTTAAGATTTTATGTGAAATTTGTACAAAATTAGAAGGCAATTAATTGAAAATGATGATTTTTATAAAATACCACTATTATTCACAATAGATTAGTCAACCTATTCAGCTTATTTTTGATGTTGTAAAGTTTGTTTGTACCTCCAGAATAGCTGAGAAAACCCTAAAAAAGATCTTAGTTCTGATCACCAACTGTTATATATTTTCTCATCAAGATTTAAACAAGACATTTAATCATTTTGCTTTAACAGTATTAACTGCAGTTATTTTACTCACAAAAGGTCAGCTAATTTTGTAAAGGGAGCTAAGTAATATCAAAATCTGAAATTATCTATTGATATACACTGTCTTGCTGAATGACACTACAGTTCATATTTTCAGCTTTAAAATTTAATTTCCTATGCTAATCTCAAATTGCTCGAAAAAAAATTATTAAGTAATCCATATCAGTTTTTTTCTTTTTTTTTTTTTTTTTTTTTTTTTTGCATTTCATATTTTTGTTTAATCAAGAACTAAATGTTCTTATACATTAATCTGAAGACTATTACTTCAACTATAGTAGTTAGTTCCACTGTTGTAACTTTTTCAAGTTATTTCTATAACAAGTCGAAATTTTGTTATACAAAAATATTTGCAATTACCTCTTTATCAACTGTGGTAGCGAAATCGACAGCTTCTTTATGAGTACAGCTCACTGCCCTCTGTAATGTGTTGATTACCTGTAATAGATCATATAATATCTGAATATAAATTCTTATATTCAATATGAAGCCCTTCACAATTGTTTTAGAAGTATTTCCAGAAGAAAAGGATGTTTTATTTAGCATGAATAATTAAATCAACTTTTATCATAAATCATTATCATAATTGAAACTGACAGCAAAATTGTTGCAACCCTACAATAACCTAAATTTCAACAGACATACACGTATATCACAAAAATAATTTAACAATAAGAGATATTGGTAGGACAGCGTGCTCGACTATTTCAGTGCACTATTTCAGTGCTTGATAGTATAACAAGAGCCAGGATAGTGTAATGTACAATTTCCTAAGTTCAAAAGGGCCATAACTCTGTCAAAATCCATGTCAGAGTTATGAACCTTTGAGAGTGACCTCATATTATGATCTCAAATAAGTGTGTACAGTTTTAACCAATTACCTTCACTAGTTTTAGAGATACCAACATGCATGCCAAGAAAGTGTGACAATGGCTTTAACGCCAGGGTGAGTACAATAGCTGTCCCTATTCTTCAAATAGTGGAGCTAACAACAAGCCTTTGAATAATAACATACCTTAATCGGTCAAATATGACATTAACATTTTATGAGAAATGATGCAAGTCAATTTACAGTCAAATTTTAAGCCCCCAGATATAAGGTTCACTTCCATCAAAGTCTGTAACCTAAACAGATTCCTTCCTCGAAAACAAAGATTGGAATTTTTTTTTTTTCTCTTGAGAAAATCAAGTCTAAGTCAGTTTACATTTATCTTCTATGTTCATATTAATTTAAATACCTGTTCATAAGTGTGGACTTCATCATTGAACAGCATGCATACATAGTTATCAGTAAGTTCTCCATCTGGCTGAAGGTTATCTGGGAGACGGTCACTATGATCCCATGTCAACATCTCCACTGTGTAACGTAGGGTGGCCAAAAATAGCACAGATGCTCTATCTATTAAATCATCTGGTATCAGCTCCATAGGGTTCTGGTAATGAACGAATATAATTATATTTCCCCATTATATTTCATTTTGAATATTCTTATAGTTTACACCAAGCTGACATCACTTTGCACATACATTGTATCAAATTTCTTCATCTTAGTGCAGTAATGGGTTAACTTACATTGAAATTTATAAATATTAACATGTTACTACACTATGGCGACAATTTGTTACATAAAATAAAGATGAACCAAGGATTTTCTATTTTTATTTTACCGGGTAGCTCCTGTAATCCCATAAAAGGGCCCAGCTTTATATCAAATACCAGGATTTGTGATGATTCAAAGATAGGTTCATAAGAAAGATAGTTATATCAAATAATTTCTAGTTCTAGTCACCCCATATTATTCCATGTAATATAAGTCATCGAGTCATTACGTTGTTAAGTTCATATTAATGATTAACAAAAGTTTTGTCACCAGTCCTGCTTACAAGCTTAGCTTATTGATAGCTTATTAAAATGTTAGGATTAAATTTTACCAGTCGACTTCCAAACCTTAAGCAGAAATATACATGTACGGTTTTAGAAAGTCAGTGTTGTTAACCACTATGCTTAAGGAGCCTGTTACGGTATATAAACAAAGTAAACCTGTATACCTTACTCTCTTCCATTTCATCTGACTGAGGTTGATGTTTACCACAGAACACGCCCACTTTCCAGGCCTCCGCATCACCACAGTCACAGTACCCGCCCCCTCCTGATGTGCTCATCTGAAATTAAAAGGTAAAACAATCATGTTCACTCACTAATTATTTTAAGAAATTTTCTTGCATATTCAACTGGGTTTTCCAGTGTTTGCACTTGTGCTGATCGAGCTGGAAAATGTCATCTTATTTGGGAGACCTGCCTTGAATGATATCAGCCAATATGAATGGAATAGTAAATTTCATACACATCTTTATGTAAAAGATAGCTTAAATAATATTTCTCTTGGTACTACGATTTGTATACAGTAGAAGCAATTGGTAAACTGTAACTTGGTAGACCCTTATTATCACCTGAAACAGTTACTCTCTAGCCAAATATTGCTGCCTATACTACATGTAGCTGCCAGTGTAAAATTCTTACAATATAAAGGCTGTATTGATCATTTAGTTCAAAAGGTTTTTCCTTCTCACAATACATCAAAGTTCAAAAATGCTTAATTCAAAAGCCTGAACCTGTTAATGTAACTGACATGAGAGGAATTACCATAAATAATGTCACACTATCCAACAGTTGTCATTAGGATAACATGCTTGACTATTTTCAGAGCTAGGTAGTAAAACAAAAGCCTTGATTGTTGGAATATACAGAAAGGAAGAATTAATTCAAAATAAAGGACATGGTAATGAGCCTTAGAAAGGGATCAAAAATTTCTGTAAGTTCACAATTTGACATATTGAATTCACAAAATGGCCATATATCCGTCAAAAGCCAAAACAGACTTACGGGCCTTGTATAGTAATCTTCTATTTTGATCCCAAAGTCAGGTGATAAGATTCAAGTGACTACCTTCAGTAGTTTTAAAGATTGATGTTGCATGCAAAACATTAAGAAAGTTCTTAAAAGGGCCATAATCTATGCTGTCAAAATTCATGCTCAAGTTATAGACCTTGGGCAGTGACCTTATATTATGATCTCCTAGACATGTGTGAAGTTACAATATAGGAAAACATTATTTTTGTAAATATTTAAATCTTGTTTGTTGATTTTATGGCACACTGACACAATGTAGGTCTTATAGCGCCAAAACAGGAATTATGATTTTGGATATCCTCAGGTGTTAAAATCTTTAAGCAATACAACCTCACCTGCTGGTGCTACACATCATAGACTCCAGTTATTCAAACCCATTTAGTCACAATCATGCAGGGATAAGTGATGGCTGCTATTCCAATGCCTCAACCCTTAAAGGCAACCAGTCAGCCACAAAGTGGTGGGGGGATATTTAAACAAACTTTAAAAGAAGTTAAATCTTTAAAATATTGTGTTATTTCACTATCAGTAAAGCAAATTTACCTTATGATACAGGAGTGCCTTTAAGTTTTTCTATAAAGTGTATCATCCTGTAAACCAGGAAACAGGATGATCACAAAAAAATACAATAACGCAATGTCCTTAACACACTTGAATTTCTTTTCCCTTTATAGACATCATATCATAACCAATAATTACATTGTAAACTTTAATTAAGTTATCTTACCCTGTATCTATGCTGTTTATGTACAGATGTTTGAAAACACTCCATACATAATACACAGGTTGGATCTGTGGCACACTCTCTACAATAAATAAACATAGCAACATCTTTTAAAGAAGAACAAAACTCAAGTTTAATATTACTAAATATATGGGTTTTTTTCTACTTGATATGTCCTGGTTTAAGTTTCAAATATATCAATTCATATATTGTCAACCCAAACCAAAGTACATGTACATATATATTATCAGTAAATCAGAAATATGAAGAGTTTGGCTGGTATAATAAGGCCTCCTTCCACTAGAAGGCCAAATAGTGTTCAAGTCAACAATTTTCACCCCATATAACTAGTTGACTTAACACTATATAATTATCAATTTTCAGTGATATTCTAGCAGTTAAATAAAGTTAATGATAAAATAGTTAATTTGTAATTGTATAAAAGGAAGTGGTTAGTTTAATAACATTTTTGTATATGTGTACATGATATATAATATTAAAGCACTTTTTACATCACTGGCTTGAGCATAAAATACAATGTACATACAAAAGGATTTGAGAAACAACATTATCTAGGGTCTCTGCCTATAGTAAGTGATCAGAACTTAGATGTATTTACTCTAATGAAATTAAAGAAAAATCAAAATCATAGGGCTAAATCAGCTGTAAATTTCTACTAGTTTATCAAGGGATTTAATTGTATTACAAAAGAGACATCTATAATGATTATAATTCAACAGACACTAACAGATATATAACTTAATTAAACATTAAGTGGTCACTCAAAATCTAGTGGTCACTCAAAATCTAGTGCTTTCATCATCACTAAACTTTTTCACATTATTTTACTTATAGATTGTGTAATCTTCACTTCTAATTTAAACATTGTAAGATGTAATTTGTTAAAATTCAATATCCTTTTCGTTCATACTATAAATGTATTTAACAAAGAGACAATGGACTATTTTAACAACTCAACCGACCTGTCACCAGTCCTCAAAAATAGGTAAAAAAAAAATAAATTGACATTTCAAACCTGCATGAGTATGTGGGCTCTCCATTTTTAAAAACATGACCACAAAGCTGAGATGGCTGATCTTTCTCCTTCAACTGTTGAAACACAGCCTCAGGTTCTCCGTTACATAGAAAGTGTTCAAGAGGGCTCAAAAGGTATTTAATGGTCAATCTTTCTGACCTTGTTTGATCGTCAGATGCCTGGAATGCCACTAACACATATTCTCTCCAGTGCTGCTTCAGTGTAGATAGAAAATCACCTGTCTGGTAACTTGAATGCCATTGCTGCAAAAATATCAAATACAGGTGTTTCCTTCTTCAAAGACATAATAGTTAGTAAAAGTGTATTTATTGTAAGTATTACAGTCTTTTTTTATACATAATGCCAAATTTCAAAGCCAGTATTCATAAAAATGATACTAAATCCTTAACCAAATTACAGTACTATCAGTTGGGTGCTTGAAAATAAGTGTGGCAATTGTAATGCCATTATGCAATATCAATAAATGTAAAAACATTTCATCATTCCAGGTAAAATAGTTGTTCTCAAACTATCATTAAATACTGCTTAAGTGCTTTCAAAGTAATTGGAACAAAACCTGCAAATATGGCACCAGATATTAGTCGTAGATTGTTGACTGAATACATGTACATAAAATGTTTTGATAATTGTTTGAAACTTTTATCAGACAAAAGCAGGCAAACAATCCTGGTCAACTGGGGTTAGTTGCCACTTGCCAATAAGTATGAGTAGTAATTACTTACAAAAATAAATTGGTCGCTTGACCATTTTAATTTTGTAAATAATTACTATTGAATGCTAACCAATTTTGTGTTAGAAATTATTTTTTCATCTTTCCCTAAGCGTAAGAAACTATTTTTTTATCTTTCCCTGCCAAAACCTCCTTGCAATTTAGTCATCAACAGACAACAGGTAGAAAAAACAATCAATTCCATATTTGGAAAGAATCTCTCACTGTGTAAAAATATCATGTTGTCAGGCTTTTAAATATTTTTGCCACGCCTTAAAAAAACATTATTGTGTTTTTGGCAATTGGCTCCACCTAGTATAACCCTGCTGACCTAAACAAATTTATTGACTATCATTTTTTGTAAAGTCCTGTTGGTACACATGAGAAAAAAAAATTGATAGATGACTTCTTTTATTAGGCAAAATAGCTCTAGAAGTATAGTCACTAACAGAAATAAATATTAAGAATTATAATCCCAGTGTTTTCAAATGAGTATTATCGGTACACAGTCTTAATCTATATTCATGCATATTGTAAACGGTTGAATTCGATTGGTCAATCATTGGCCAATCTTGTTGAACAATGTTCAAAATACATTGATTTGCTTATTATGGGATAAAATTAATTTTAAACATTGAATTAATTAAATATTTAAAAAAAAAATAATTTAACAGCAGCATTTATTTGTAGTCATTTACTAAAATGAACACATGTACAAGTATCATTCTATACTATAAATATTCACCAGAGATCAGGTTCAAGAGTTTGAGCAATCAGTGTTTAAGCGATCCGAGGTAGAACAATATATAGAATATAGGAGTTTTGCCGGGACTGGCGATGGGTTCGAGCCAAGGGAGGTATTCAAGCAATCCAATTCAAGCGAACAAAGTTAACCTGTATTTGGGTATTTCTCCAAAGAAGCCATCCAATCAGCTCAATAGTTAGAGCATTGCACTGTGAATCGGGCAACCCGGGTTCGATTCCTGGATGTTGCAGCTCACTTTCGTTGTGATACGGTCAATTGCTCTGTACATTATATGCTCAGTACAGAAGTTTCAGTTCCTTCAAATCCTTGCGAAAGTGAAAGTAACGAGTACTGGTAAACTGCTTGACAGGCTGCCCGGGAAGGATGCAGTGGTTGAAATGTGCTCTGGTGAATTCAATGTGGCCTACTTTCGTGATCTGGAGTGAAAACTACCAACACCACCACAACTGACTGTCTCCAAAGAAAAATTCTTTAAAATCATGCAGTTTTCGCCGACAATTGAATTTACAGAAAGTTTTTCTTCTTCCTCTTTTGCAAATATACCATATAATTTCCCCCCAAAATTAAGGACAGGGTTGCTTCTCCAACCTAAGAAAAATAAAACCTGGGTAAAACACTGAACACGATATGCATGATCATGATGAACATTCTTCCAAACTTGAAATATTCATCGTACGCATTTACATAATAGATCTTGAATGCATTATAAATTCATTTAAGATTTTTCAAATAAGTTCGTTATAAACCTGTACAAGAGCCTTATGATTAAACTCAGGCGCTTGTAATGAACTTCTAAGAGCCATATTATCCAGATGGAAAGAAATTACGCTCTGTTGCCATTTTCTTGGAAATCGCAATAGTTGAATTCGAATTTTTATTTAATGCTTTTCATTTAGTACAAATATATTTTAATTATTTAAAATAATTTCAATTTAAAATTCATCATAAATTTGACAAGGGAAAGCCGTTTTTATTTCATAAAACAAGTTTACTCATAATTCGAAACTAAATACAAATAAACCTTGCTCTATCTGTACGGTCAACGGGAGTTTTGGTCCCGAAAACAGCATGCTTCCACTTTGCTACAAATTTTAGCATAGTTAATTAAATAGATATAAATTCACGACTTAAAAAATGAAAATTTTTAGATATCAATGAATTATGCAAAAAGTAATTAAGTCAATATCTCAGCAATGCTTAAAATGAAAAATTTATCCATCTTTACTGATAAAATTTACTGTTACTGTAACATGGATTTGGAAAAAATGACCCTTTTGTGAACTTTGAAGTTTTTATATTATCAAGGCTCTTTTACAATCAAGCACTGAGAATAGTCGAGCATGTTGTCCTACCGGCAGCTCTTATTTAAAATTACATTTAGATGATACATTGTAATGTGGTAATAAACCTGACATCATTTTATTCATTGCACGAATGACATAGGAGTGATCGAAGTTTCTTTATTAACTTACCATATAATAATGACTAAATGTTAATTTAGCGATTGTCATCAGTTTTAAACTTTGTTCATGACTTAGAAATAAAGGGAATCCTAATAGAATATAATAGCAAATATTTCTTTTGAAGTAGCATGAATGTTGATAATTATACTTTTTAAGAGTATGATTTTTCTCTCTTTTTGTGATCAGCTGATTGAGATTTTAATCTTTGATTATAAAGCCACAAGTAATTGATTCTGCTCTCTTTTGTGATGAGCCAATAAAAGCCTGGTAAACGATCGATAGAGCTACCTCTTTTGGAGGTATACGGTTAATCGCTCTATGGCTATTTCTGAGCTAGTGCATGTCGCTAAAATCAGCTGGTATCAAGTGTTTTCGTTTTTTAAACATTTTGTAAACTACACCAAATATCGAAATTCGGAGAATGCTATGCCATGTACATTTAATGACAATTGTTTATTAGTTTCAATATTTTGAATGGTGAAATTGTCTTTATTGAATAAAACATATAAAAAAATAATATTGAAAAAAAATAAGATGCTAAGAAATATTTTCAGTAATTCAGATTTTATGTTAATTCAGTATTAATTCCATAGAGATAAGAAATAAATAAGTCTATTAATTATATAATATAATTATATGAATTATATTTGCCCCTTCAATCAGTTACTTTAGTAAAATAAATGCATTTGTGAATTAGCGAGCATTCCCCAAAAACATGATAAACAAGATCAACAAGGAAAGGCGGCGTTCAATGAACGTCAATGTTAATAATAAGGTTTAACAAGATACAAGATACAAGAAACTTTATTTTAAGTCGGTTTACATATTACAATAAACATTAGCTAATAAGCTATTTACCGACAATAACAAAGGCATAAAACATATTTACTAACATATAACAGTTCTGAAAAAAAAACATATAAAACTATTAGCAGCTTTAAGCATGAAATAAAAGTATCAAGGTTAAGAAGAACTTTACAATAAGATGGTAAATTAAGACATAGTTTGATGACATGCACAGTACATATTGTATTAAAGGTAATAACAGTTCCTAAAAGTAATAAATGACTGTAGTCTAGAAATTAAAATATGATACGTATAGCAATGTGAAATAAATAAAGATAATAATAAAATATAAAAATTAATAAAATAGTAATAGTCTTTAAGTTAACATCTACAATTTATAAATACGTAATTGAAGATTTCCTAAAAAATAAATAAATTAAATAAATAGATAAATAAAACTTACTTATAAAAGTGCATAAAAATTTATGATAGAACTGATACAGCATAAAAAGAAACAAGATAAAGCACATACAGGGTAACAAACAAAGTTAACTAAAATTAAGTTGCATGCACAGCCTAATGGAATGGGGAATAAGGAGTTTTAATATGAACAAAGCATACAAATCATACAACAAAGACTCAACTAGCATAAATATAGGGTTTAAGGAAAATTAACACACAGCATATAATCAAAGCATCATAGCAAACTAAAAAGGGATGCACAAAAGCAAAGCAAACAAACAAAACATGTAGTCTAAGCATTTTACATAAATTAAAACTAAGCAAAATAACAAACACATAGCAAATTTACAAACACATAGCACATTTACAACTTGGGCCACTCCAGACCTGGATCAGTCTCCCAAACTCTTTGTAGTTTTCAACCTTGCGGATGTCATTAGGGAGACTGTTCCATATCTGGGCGCCTTCAAACCTAAAAGAATTCTTACCGTATGTTACTGTTTTGACCCTTGGAATATTTACACTTTTTTGATACCTTAAAGAATAATTGGAATTTTTAAATTGAATTAAATCATTTATATATGGTGGTGATTTTCCATACAGGCATTTAAACACTTCTTTGGCTATAGTTTTAATTCTTGATAAATGTAAAGTAGGCATATTTACTTTTTTTAATAATGTGTCATATGAAGAATTAAAATCATTAAATACTATTCTTAGAGCTCTATGCTGGAGTTTTTCAAGTTTTTCTGTGTTTGTTTTAGAGCAAAAATGCCAGACAAGGGGACAGTAGTTAAAATTAGATTTGATAAAAGATTTGTAAATAAGAAGAAGACATTCTGAATTTAAAAATTTCCTAATTCTTAAGAGCACATTTAATTGATTGGCAGCTTTTTTACACATTCTGGTGACCTGTATATCAAAGTTAAGTAAAAAGTCTATGTCTACCCCTAGCATTTAACACAATCTTCACATTTTATTGTAACATTATCAATTTGAAATTCTTTTAAGTGTTCATTTGTAATTTTCCCAACAGCTATGGCTTGAAACTTGTCAGGGTTAGCTTGCATTTTATTAATGTTAAACCAGTTAATAAGTATTTTACTTTCATTTTCTAATGTGTTTTTCAATATGTCTATTTTAGAGTTGGAGAAGGCTAGAGTATTGTCATCTGCATAATTGTATAGGATGGATTTATCAATAAAGTAAAAAAATATCATTCATGAAGATGTTGAAGATCAAAGGTCCAAGAATAGAGCCTTGTGGCACCCCCTTAATTGTTTCAAGCCAAGTGCTATGATATTCTCCTATTTTAACTGTTTGTTTCCTGTTTGATAGATAGTTTGAAACTAGAGAACATGCATTTTCAGACAACCCATATGCCTCTAGCTTTTGGACTGTTAGATCATGCGGTAGACAGTCAAAAGCCTTGGACAGGTCCATTAGGATTGCTGCCACATGCTCATTTCTGTCTAACGCCGTCTTCCAGTCCTCAACCAGACGCAAAAGAGTTGTCTGACATCCGTAGCCTGGTCTGAAAGCGGCTACATAATTATGAAATATATTTTTTGTGTTAATTCGGTTTATAATATTTTAAAATTATATATACTCAATCTTTGTAGAAAAAATATATATGTAAATAAATGAACAAACATATATTCCAAAGACCGTAAAATGATAGAGATCGTCTATTATTAATTCATTATACAAATCGACGGGCTCGTGATGATCCTCAACATCAAATTGGGAATATATGTTGAAGACATTTTACTGACAAAAGTTTTGAGCTATGTAATACCATAGTTTGAGAAGTTCCCTTTTTAATATTTAGGATTTAAGTATGTGTGTAAATAAATATATGATATTAAAATCATATATAGTCTGTCAATTGTCTTTGAACAAAAAGTGTTGCACAAAAATGATGTCGATATGCATGATTATGAATAATATTCAAAAACGCCCATATGGTATTTCATTGGCTCTTTCATTTCATCATTCAAGTGGGGTATTTATGACTCCGCCCACTAACTGTGAGACTGTTAGCGAATTTAATTGGATTATATAATATATCCATACGTTCTGTGTCATTAATTTATGGCCTATACTATGTTGGTGCGTCGTAAAACCAAACAAACATATCATTCATTATATTTCTAGGTTAAATTTATTTTGTCAATTATATAAAATAACAGGACAGCTTTTATTATACATTGTTATTAAGCATAACAGATCTTTGTCGCCACTAAATCAAATAATTTTACAGAGGTATGATATTGTCAGTGAAATGCATTTGAATCTTCTTTTTTTTACATTTGTTGCATACATGCTAACCATGGCAAAGTTCTTTTTTTTTGCGTTATAAAATTAATGTGATCAAATGATCAACAGCGCTATCTTGATTAATGATTTTAAAGATAAAATATCTATACATCCATTTGCATCATAATTTAATATCAAAGACACTTTAAATTTATCCTGTTTGTTGCTTTTTTGTTTGTTTATTATTTTGATTTTTTGTTCATTTTTTAATTTTGTAATTACTTTCTTTTTAAATATTTAATAAAATAAAACACTTTCGAATATGTATCGAATAAAAGTAATTCAGTTATTCAAAACACTAAGTCTTGCAATAAAGAAATATAGTTATTAAATCCCTTTTTGTGTTGAAAAAACTAAGAACAGTTTCTGATGCATAACAAGCCGAGTATTAATATAACAATAACATATAAATGTATCGTCGCAAATGAAAAATGATAATTGACCGATTATAAATTATTTCTAAAAATTCTTTCAATACATCGCGAGACCGTCGATTTGTGTAATAACCTACTAATCGACGACGGATCGCCTGAGACCATCGATTTTGTGGACATCGGATAAGAGGCCTCAGACACGAATAACAGCCACGCAATAATTGGCAGTGTTCGTTTGGAACTTTGTCCGACATACATCCAGAGATAAACGTTGCCCGTTTTGATAGCCATGAAAAACATGGGTCAAGGTCGCATGACCTCATCTGCATATCATTTCCGGTGATTTCATGAATGAAAATGCCAAAGGTTTATTTATAAGTAATTTCAGCGTTTGTTGGTCGAACAGATTACCACAGAGCTGGGCTATGGCTTCAGGTTTTATCATTGGTTAAATCTTTGTTAAAGAAAAAAAGTAATAGTTAAACTTATTGTCTGAATAATGTCAAAACGTTAGGTCAGAAAGAGAATCTGGAAAACCAAAAATATGACCGTGGGAAATTTTGTTAAAAATTAAGGATGCTGTTGTCACTCATCACGTAGGCTTGTTTTAAATATTAGAACTTCTTTATTACTAATGTTTATTTAAAGCCTTTTCTTGTAGTTGTAATAAGGAATATATCGTGTCAAGGAATTGACAAGAATCCAGGTGATGTGATGCTGACATGACATAATTTATGATTAAACAAATTCATTTTCTCAACTTACGGGTGGCATGGCATGTACATCTAAAACTGAAAAATTAATTATTCTATACTGTACATAAAAAGTATAATTGACATGTTAATTTATTCCACTTAAACAGAGAATTTTGATTTTCACCAAAAAAAAGGAACTTAAACCATGAAAAATAACTTGTTAATAATTGTTAATCAACTTAAATCTTAATCAAGTTAATGTTGTCTGTCAGCCATATTGATAGATATTAAGGAAGTTGCTAGCTACATGGGACCGTCCTGCTAGCCAAAAGTTCTACTAGCCATATGAGAATCACAAATGACTTACATGTAAGTCTTAGTCTATACAAGTGGAAGTGGATAGCCTTTAGGCATTTTTTTAGTAAATCCCTAGCATTTAACAAAAATAAAATAAGAAAAAAACAAACATCAGTTACTAGAAATGGCTATGGAAATATGTTTCTGTAATAATATGAATAAGGCAAAGCCTCAAAGAGAGCTCTTTGAAAGACACAATAGTTCTAATACAACCATATTTAGCAGCTGTACACTTTTAACTACACCTTTAGGCTTTACCATACAGTTATGATTACATTATGCCTAGAACTGTTCAGTGCACATTTGGTTGAAAAATTCACTCAACACTACCAAAAACTATTTTTGCTTTCAAAATGTGGCCATTTCATGTTTAAAATGATATATCTAAATTGGATCCACCCGTCAGATAACATAAATTCACTTAATTTCCAAATTTGGATTTAATTATATATAATTACATTTCGAGAGAAATTATTCCATCTCGGGAAAAGGATGTACTATAGCAAACAGTAATGTATTGGAAGTTGATATTCCTGTGGAGCCTCTTTCTATTTTCTCTTTATTTTATGGATAAGATGTGTATAAAGGTTTTCTTTTGACTTTGACTGCAATTTATCATAAAAATATTAAAATGTGCTAAATACTTGAATCAGTCAAAATTTTACGTACTTTATAATATATTTGTTAAACGATCATGAATGCGCCAAGAGTCCTATTTCAAAAAAACGTAAGTTCGCCAAACTTCATATTTGGTTTAATGGTAATTGGCAAGGAATTCCGAATGTCAATTTGAATGGGAACCATAATAAGAAAGGAAACCAGAAAAACTGTTTACCGGCATGCTGTGGTATACAGTAGTATTGCTGGTACTGATTCCTGGCGTGCTTCAATAAAATAGGACAGGGAACCAAAATTGCCTCTGATGAAGAGCAGGCAAACTTTTTACCTATAATTAAATTTTACTGTACTTCCGGTTTTCAAAAGTTTTTAAAACCATCACTTCTAGAGATGCTCACGTTACTGTAATGCTTGCTAAATGCAAGCAGGCCCTATGGGTCTGTTCTCCAAGCTCACTTTAAATTTCTGATCTGGCTTATACATAAAATTTAATAAAATCTTTGTTGAGTTCATAATTGCCAAAAAACTTACAATTTACATGTGGCTAGAACTTTTGGCAAACAGTAAGGGCATGTAAAGGAGACAAAGTTACAGAACAAAAAAATCTAAAGTTATTTTATATAAATGAGCCCTTGCCCAAACAGACAGCTCTGGAATGGTGATTAAAGTGCTAAAAGCAAATGACTTGCATTAAATTTTATTAATAATTTAATCTTTTATTTGCAAATTGCAGGAGGAGAAGATGCCATCTCGTCCGCATCAAAATTGCTTGGAACTAAAAGAAATAGCAAAGTAGAAAAAGAAAGGCCAAGATTCCTAGCCCGGCACAGAATGCACAGGTCATCTGTTCGGCCGTTTTTCTGCTGTGGAAGTCAAATTTCATTAAATAGTATAACAGGTAAGTTAATTTCTGTGAAAGTTTAAGATATGATTTCTTCGTATGTGTGATGTAGTTTTCTCTGTTGATGCAAGATCTTGATAACTGTTTTAGATTAACTCTCTGAATGTACTAATCTGTAATAATGATTAACCATTAGCTTTCATTATTATAACATCATGTGAGCAAGCAAGTCAGTACAGTTGTTCTAGACCTTATACTTCTGTTGCTTTTTTTAAGTTTTTGATTTATAATTTAACTCTTGAATTAACAATGGAATGTTCCTAATTCAAAGCAGGGCAAGTGTATTATATGACTAGTTGTGCATGTATAAAATGTATGTTTACACAAATTAACAACAATAGTGTTATGATAGATTGTTTATTTAGTTATTTATCAATGAAAAATGTACCCTTTTCCATTCCAGTCTTGCTTGGTTTATATTGCTCAGCTGCATTTCTTTATCACACATCATTTGATATTTTCTTACAGTATTACATACATATTGTTAGACAAAACTATTAGGGACTGTGGATTCTTTTAATGTAAGGAAGCTACATGTTATTGTAGCTAGCTTATAGAAAGTTGATGGTTTTATGACCTTAACAATGATGGTATGACTTAAAACCCCAACACACACACAATTAAGACAAAAATTCCATATTAACAGTCAAGTTTAGTGTTGTTGCCATCTGTATTATCAAAATAAAGAGTAATAAATGTAAAACTATTAAAATGGTGTTTATGATTGGTAAATAATGTTATATATATTATTACAGAAATGAAGGACATACCAGCAGGCCCACATGAGAAATCTCTTGATGATGATTATGAAGATGTGACGGACTCGGACGATCTTGTCGAAGATACCGAGGTAGTTGGAGCTGCGGGTAGCGACAGCTGCAGTATCAAGTCTGAAAAGTCCTCACACAGGTCATCCCGCATTCCAAATAGCAAGAGAAAGAAGGCATCTACACTACATGATAAGCCGAGCACACGAAAAAAATTCTGGTCTGTAAAGCTGCGTGGGAAACTTCATACAACAAAACAGTCGCACTGTGTTTCGGAGTCTGAATTGAATGTGCCATTAAAATCAGGTGCGGAGTGTGTATGTACATCATACAGACATTCTATTTCTGGAGCAGAAGGTGGGACAGGTATATTACAAAGTGATATAAGTCTGCCTGTTTCGGCAATGGCTCATTTGCAGCTTGCTGCTTCAAATAATGAGTTGAATAGAGGATTACAAGGGGAGATCACTGGCAGAGCTGGTCGCCATGTGAATAGAATAGATGTCCCTCTTCCGATTATAAACCTGAATGCATTGTATCCAATAAATGACATTGATGAACAGTTAATTGCCCAAAGACGGTTTGAAATGGAACATGGAATTGAGGTCAAGGATGGTACTGATGGTAATGTTTGGGTACATAAATCGGAACAAGATGATAATGAAAAGTTAAAAGTTGGGCAGGAAGCTGCGGGCCAGTATCCTTCATATGGTGCTATGGGATTTTTTTCAGCAGAAGCAGAAAGTCTAGTCAGCTCTACTCTCAAACCTACTAATATAGACACAAGGAGCCTGGCATGCTCAACACTTAGTCTCAATGCCAACCCCTGGTTGCCGAACATTTCACGCCCTCTTGGTGGTATTCATACCCAGGTGGATTATAAACATCACCTTGTACCAGACCTTCAAAGGATTATTAAATCAAGCTTTTATTGGGGTGTCATGGATCGTTACCAGGCTGAGAAATTAATCGAGAACAAACCAGAAGGGACATTCCTGTTACGGGACAGTGCACAAGACGAATTTCTGTTCTCAGTCAGTTTTCGAAGATATGGTAGATCCCTTCATGCAAGGATTGAGCAGTGGAATCACAAGTTCAGCTTCGACTCGCGAGATCCAGGTGTGTTTGCCGCAGGATCTGTGTGTGGTTTAATAGAACACTACAAAGATCCAAGTAGTTGTATGTTCTTTGAGCCGATGCTCACTCTCCCACTTCATCGAAATTTTCCATTCTCTCTACAGCACATTACACGTGCAACAATATGTAGCAGTTTAACTTATGATGGCATTAACCAGCTTACACTGCCATCAAGCTTAAAGGAATATCTACGATTTTATCACTATAAACAAAAGGTTCGTGTACGCAGATTTGACAATGTAGCTTAGAAGTTAGAAACCGGGCATAAAGAGACTTTATTGTGCAATCTTTACAGTTAAGATATTGGCCATCAAAAAGCATTAAGGCCTTGAAATTTCATCATTCATTTAAAGAGATAGTGACTTAAAGTATTGGTTGCTTTTAACGGAGAAATTTCATCTGTAATTACATATTCAGATTTACATTAATTAGATTAATGCTTAATGTATTTGTTGCCAATGTAAAATAAAGGCATATTTTTCCTTTGCCATGTAAGTACATGTATAGCCCATTTATTTGTTTTTTCATATATATTGGAAATTCCTTGTAAATTTTGCAGTTCATTTTTCATAGCTAATTAGTAGCATTACTTTTAGAAAGGGTCTCCCACTAAGGTTGCTGGGGATGGGACATATAGATTTGCCCTTGTCCATCAGTGATGCTGTTCTCCTGTTAACACTGTAGACTTAACAGTGGAATGTGAAGGCTTCGATGACTTACTGTTTGTCTTGCCTTTGTGAATTATGATATGATATAATTTATTTATCAGGTGTCTTCTACATTCTATTTTCAATTTATGGAATTGAAAAAAAAAATCAACATAGCATAAAGGTCAAAGTTATTATATAGCATAAGTGTCAATGTTGTTATATAGCATCAGGGTCAATGTGGTTATATAGCATAAGGGTCAATATTGTTATATAGCATAAGGGTCAATTATGTTATATAGCATAAGGGTCAATATTGTTATATAGCATAAGGTTCAATGTTGTTATATAGCATAAGGGTCAATGTTGTTATATAGCATAAGGGTCAATGTTGTTATATAGCATAAGGGTCAATGTTGTTATATAGCATAAGGATCAATATTGTTATATAGCATAAGGGTCAATTATGTTATATAGCATAAGGATCAATGTTGTTATATAGCATAAGGGTCAATTATGTTATATAGCATAAGGGTCAATATTGTTATATAGCATAAGGTTCAATGTTGTTATATAGCATAAGGGTCAATGTTGTTATATAGCATAAGGGTCAATGTTGTTATATAGCATAAGGGTCAATTATGTTATATAGCATAAGGGTCAATATTGTTATATAGCATAAGGTTCAATGTTGTTATATAGCATAAGGGTCAATGTTGTTATATAGCATAAGGGTCAATGTTGTTATATAGCATAAGGGTCAATGTTGTTATATAGCATAAGGATCAATATTGTTATATAGCATAAGGGTCAATTATGTTATGTTTTGTCCTTTTGGGGTTAAATTCAAAAAAGTTGTGAATAAATTACCTTTTTAGCATAAGACAAAAATAATTTCCATGACATGTTTTGTTGTAATTTGCATTGGGTGAGTTTTAAAAATGTTTATGTTTAAGACTACTGTAGCTTTCATTATTAGCTTGTCTGTTTTGAGGAAATAGCCGAGCTATTATGATTGCTGCAGTGTCATCTTTGTTGACGTTGTCATCCTGCAAAAACTTTCATGTTGCCCATAATTCAAATTTTTTAAGTTATGTACATGAAGCTTAGAAAAGTGCAGTTATTAGACATGGGGCATAATTCTTAAAGCAATATTTCTGGAGTTATGCCCCTTTTTAGCAAAGTTTTTAACAGATGAGTGTTACCACTGCACGCAGTGGTCTTGATTAAGTTTAGAATCATAGTGATAAATTACTTTGTTAAAATGGCAGAAAGTAAAGTTGACCATCTCACAAAGCATAACAATTTCTGACATTATTTTTTATTTTTCTGTTACATCATGAACACATATAAAATTGCTTGCTTTGGTTGTAGAGTTATATTGTTTAATTAAGATTTCATTGTGAACAGCAATTTCGGTGCTATTATAATTTCAGTTTTTATTACGTTTCTATTTTATGTTTTTATAATTTTAAGTTTGAGCTTCTATTATCACTAGTATTTGAGCTTTAGGCTTGTCAAAGTTTATCACAAATAAGCATATGTTGTTATGTACAAGTACGTGTTTGTCTGGGTAATTGCCTAGCCATATTTCAGGGATTCCCAGTAAGCACAATTTTGGCCTAAATGACTCATTATTGTTTCATGTACCAAAATTATAAGTCAAAAATTTTTTTGGCTAGTAATTAAAGTGGATAGGTCTACAATGGGTATATTTATGTTAAGTTTTTCAAACATTGATAAAAACAATACCAATGTATCATTTGGATATTCTTATTTACAATACTGCTTGAAAAAGAAATGTTGATAAAGTTATAAATGATTTAGAGTGACCATTTATCTGACGAATAATAATATTTTGTTCTAGAGCATTTATTACCTCCTTTATAATGTATGTGATGTCAGATTATGTATCTTACACTAGCCAATAACTTTCATGTATAATTCATTAGTGGTTTGTTGTAAGGTTTAATACTAAATACTATTAGTGTAATTAGTCATTGTATTACAGGCCTTCCAATATAGACCAATTCACTTTAAATTATGTTGTTTATGAAAATCTACGAATATGAATTCACATTGCACATATAGCTGTTGATAATTTCAAAAAAGTAGATATGCCACACAATTACATCTTAGATGAAATAATTAGAGAAAAAAAAAATTATTTCGTTATTTGAAATAGTAAATACAAATATACTTATTATTTTTTTCAATTTTTCTTTTCAACTTTGAAATTTGTTTTGCCATATAATTAATATGTACATATATTTTTTTGAGATATTTTCTTAAATTTCGTTCAAAATTTTTGAAGCAGTAAGTTTTCCAATTATTCTTGTTGAATTACATTATAATATAAGCTTTTTTCGTCACCTACATGCATTGTATTTTAAACTGAGTTCTTATGTAAGCGTTTTATCATATACATGATTGCTTAGATTGAAGTAATTTTTTTTTTAAATCAGTGTATCCCAGTTCCAGTTTGTTTGTGGGAGTAAAATGTTTTGCTACTTATACTTATAGTCTTATTGTGAAAGCTTTGTCATAGGAAATGTACATCAAAGGCAGTCCTGGAAGTTTCTGGTAGATGTAACTTTGACAACAAAATGATGGAAAATACCCTTTTGATGTATGAGTCAATCACTGATGTATAAGTGTAAACATATTATTAATGACATCTCATGATTTTCATGGGCTATTTGTAGGTCACTGACCAAGACCCAGAACTCTAAATTCCATTTTTTATAATTCTGAATGTTTATATTGCCAATATTGCTTTGTTTTATGCAGTTGCTTCAAGTTTAATTTTACTTACATTATTTAATCTTCAGACAGATTCAAATGTAAATACATAAAGCATTATATATCTATATTTTGAGGAATGAGGATGTAATGCATTGGACATAATATTTTTTTTCATTCTATGATTTATTTTGTTGCTGTATTTTATGTTTTGCTTGGTTAACTTACCCTGGATCAAAAGAACTTTTGTTAAGGTGCAATTGATAATTAAATATTTATTTCAGAAACAAGACTTTCTTTTTTTCATTATAATTGTTAAGATTGCTAGGATCTACTTTCACTTCGGAATATATGTTTAAATTTGTTTAAAGTGACATTATGCCCATGCTTGCAAGAGTATATAGTGAATGAACAGATAAATTTTATGATTTAGATTACATGAACCATAAATAAATCACATGGCCCAAGGAAATTATTATTAATATCCATCAGAATATACATCTAAGATTTAATTTATTAAAAAGTGTTGGGCAGACTTTTTGTATTTTAGACAGATTTATGTTTTGCAATATCAACTGTTGGTCAATCACCATTGTAACAGTCAATTATATATAATAATGAGCCATGTCATCACAAAACCAACGTAATGGGTTATTTGACCAGCATGGATCAAGACCAGCCTGCGCATCCGCGCAGTCTGATCAAGATCCATTGTTTGCTATCAGTTTCTCTAGTTGTTATAGGGTTTGTAAGCGAACAGCATGGATCCTGATCAAACTGCGCGGATGTCTGGGTCCAAGCTGGTCGCAAACCCATTATGTTGGTTTTGTCATGGCGCGGCTCATAAATTGAAATATATAGTCTATTCAACCCATCTTGACAATGTGAGAAAGGGAAAATACCTAAACTTTACTGAAGATTTGAAACTTACACTTACCCCTTACCATGCTTTATACATGCTCTTGAATGGACTTGTCTATCTTTCAATCTGGACAAAACCATTCATCATTTAGAGAAAATTTCAAAATACATAGTGACTGAAAGATATGCTCAGCAGCCAATTGTATAAACAATTTAACCGCGCGGTTACCACACGGTTACGGTAACCAGCCCGGTAACCTCGCGGTAAGCGATTGTATAAAAAACATCAAAAGCAGTAACCGCGCTTTAACCGCAGTTAAATTTAACCCAGGTAAAGTAGCTTGGTAACTGCACGGTAACCAAAACCAACATGGCGGACATTTTACGCGTTTCACACCGACGACCCCGACAATTTCGACGAATGCAAGGGTGATATTGGTCTGCACTGGTCACATGGGTAGAATATGTGCTAGGGGTTAGAACTATAAGTATCACTACTATGTTTCATCAAACGAAATGCAAAAAAGTAGCAGGAGCCGAGTGGTTAACGTTGTTACTTGCCCCTCATCGATGTGGGTTCGAATCCCGAAAGGAACTTTGGATTCTCTCATTTGAGGAAGCTATCAAGCTAGCTTACAGAACGTCAGTGGTTCTACTCAGGTGACCGTTTGTGCATGAAATATAGATGGAAGGGCACATGAGGTACTCTTTTTTTTTAAATGAGTTTATTTAAGGTCGCCGCCGGAAAGCCCATATGGGCGACCGTACACTCAAGTCGGGTCATCCTAGAGCGTCCCGCCGAGATTTTTCGTCGATTTTTTCCCCCAGCTTTATTGCCCTCCGAGCATTATTTCAGGCACGAGTGGGCATGTGGGTAGAACCACCGACCTTCCGTAAGCCAGCTGGATGGCTTCCTCACATGAAAGATTCCTCTGAAACATCGTCATATTACTTACACGTGCCAAGTCGGTGTGACGTAATACCCAATCAAACAAGATTAGACCGCACATACCATTGTATACACACCGGTCTCAAATATCGTCAGTAAGACCGGTGTACACAATGCCGCACATACTGGTAAAATCCGGTTCAGTGTGGTTTATTGCTAAATATGGCTAGTTGTGCAAAATAGAGCATTATTTTTTACATTATCAATAATCCGCTTTGTTCATTTGTCTATTCTTTGTATTTGTAGTTTTTATGCCAAATGATCCAAATAGCTAACAAAAACTTGTTTTGGTAGAGTGCTAACTTTGATATCAATTTGGA